TAGTTACATTTTTCTGGTAGTGTTCTGGAAAAGCAGAACATTTGCTTGTCACATTCAAAGATATCCCACAATGTTAGCATGTGGGTCATAGGTCTACAGACATTCTCTCTCCCTCAGATCCACACTTCCAAAATGCATCAGCTGAAAAGAGAAATATCTAAGGAAAACATGTCTTGGAAAAGGACTGTTTAAGTTGATACAATCTATAATGTCTATGCATAAATTATATCTCTGCATTATTCTCTAGGACTTCTTTAAGCTCAACTTTTCATTTAATAATCTAGCACAACATATTAGTGCTACTAGTAGTGTTATTATATAATTAGTATAAATGATTCATTCTATAACCATCACATTTCAAAAAGCACTGGGACCTTCATGTTACAGTGTAGAAATGCCATTATTCTCTTTCATACAGTTCTTATGTCATCAGGCATGTCCTGCCTCAGAAAAATCTGAAGATATTTTACAAAATATAAAATTATGAGAAATATGTATCACTTTATGAGATTTATGTATCTTGAAAATTGGTATTCTGAAATAAATAAACCAACCTCTGGGATATATAAGAAATTTTTTAGATATTCAAAATAATTAGATTACAAGTTTATATCTTAGTGGAAAGATGAGTTAGTTAAGACACTCCAGACTTAGTGGCTGAGTTGCTACATATCTGATTTGAAGATCAAAATATTCAAGATAATACTGGACATTTTCAGTGTAATAGCTTCTCAATATTTTATTTCAAATATAATATGTAAGTACATTTAATTTATGAATAGTGTGGACAAAAGATATTTCAGCATCAGCACCACAGAGGTTTTGCTCTTAAATATCTCTTCTACTTGTGCTCTTAAATATCTCCAGACATTAAAGAAAACAGTATCTGGACCTTTATTTATTTATTGATAGAATGACTAGATCAGAGCAATCCCATTGGGATTATGAATTTTCTAATGCTATAAATGAGCTTTGATTTGGAATACAAATTATAATGGCAATAAAGACTATGTTTTGTGAAATTAACTATGTACATATTAATGTCAAATACTCCATGGGATTTAAAATGTGCCACAGAAATTCTGAAGTTTTATAGAACTAAAACTAATAAATGTAACAATCTATATTTTCTAAAGATTTAAATAATTTATATGAACCCAATAGCATATTCATAAGAAAAAGGCATGGTTTTACATATTTAACGTTTACCTAAAAATTTACTTCAGTGCAAATCCAAACTGATATTTATCTACCACAACAGATAAGAGTATTAGGTGAGATTCAGCTGTGTTTCACATAAAATGTATACGATAACAATCTTAATACAAAAAGTCACTAAATTTTTCAACTACCAAAAGTGAAATAAAAAAGTACAATTGTAAAAGTCACTTCTTCATGTAAGCCAATCACTATTCATGTGATTTAATAAATAGTCTTTTCTGCCAGTTTCAGATCATTAAAAAAAATAATGAACATATAATAGAAAATTAACAGTAAGTACAAAGAACAAAATGCAAACAATAGGTCTGGGTTTTGACTAAGTAAATATGAATTCAGTTGTTCAGTAAATCAGTCATTCAATAACACTATATAACTGGATTATAGACCCTACAGTTAGTACTAGGACACAAAAATGCAGAGTAGAAGAAAGTATCTGTCTTGGTTACTTTTCTCTCTCTGCTGAGACAAAATACACAATGCCCAAAATTAAAAAGAGGGAAAGGCTGGGCCAGGGACTTAGTTCAGCAGCTCAAGCACTTACCCGGCAAGCATGAGGTCATGAGTTTCATTCCCAGTACGGGAAAAAAAAAAAAAAAAGAGGCAAAGATTTATTTAGCTCACAGTTTGTGGAGGTTTCAGTCTATATTCATCTGGCTTCAAGGCAGTAGCATGGCACAAGGGCAACAATTCATAATGGCAGAAGAGAGCAAAAGCAACAAGAGAAAAGGAGGAGCACAGACAGAAGACTCTCGGTCTCTGACATTGTATGTAGGCTACCCACCCTGGAGTGGGTGTAGCACTCACACCCGTAATCCCAGCATTGAACCATAAATCAGTCACAAACTAGAAGCCTGTTCTCATGACTGCATGAAGCTTTGGAGGGACATAACAGTATCCAAATTCACATATCTAATATAACAACTTCCATCCAGAATATATAAAACACCTACGTATGGAAATAAAAAAAATAAAATTGATAATAATAAACTAATTTAAAAATTTATTAAAAGACTTGAAAAACATTTCAATAGTAGATATGTGGAAAATAAACACATGAAAATGAGTTCAACATAATTAGTGCCGGAACAATGCAAATTAAAACCAGAATTGTATGTAATTGTCTATTTCAGAAGGGCTAAAACTAAGAAGTATGAAAATAAAACCTAGCTTGGATGTGGAGGAAATGGAATGTTCATACACTGCTGATAGGAATGAAATATGGGAAACTTTAGAAGACAGGTTAAGGATCTCTTAAAGTGTTACTTATTTCTACCATATGATCCAACTCTTCTATTCAGTTATTCATCCACGAGAAATAAAAGTGGATGTTCACAGAAATACATATATACAACTGTTCGCAGCAGATTCATTCATAATAGCACAATCTTGAAGTAGTCTACCAATAAATCAGCTCCTAGATAAAACTATCTTTTACCCAAATGAATGACTGATACATGACATGATGAATCTTAAAATAGATCTGCTGAGTGAAACAATACATACCAAAAATGAGTATATAGTATATACTTTATACCATATAAAGTAAACTTTTATATAAAATTTTAGTATGTGTAAATTAATGCATAGTATCAGAAAGCAGTTTGATACTAAGAAGGAAGGACTAGATGGGTGTACTATAAAAAGGAACAGGGAATCTTTTAAAGGAAAAGTCTGTTTTTCATTATCTTCATTGTGATGATTGTTTCACCAGTTTCACTATTTATAGTTTATTATATCAATTATAATCCAGTAAATCTCATATCAAAGTTGGTAAGAAAGTTGCACTGGCTTTTTCTGTCAAAATTATGCAACTTTTACATATCAGGCTGAATATTTCAATCTGATAGTCACAAGCAAACAGTTCCTGAGCACTGCATCTACAATGTAGCCCAATTATATTACTTCATTTGAAATAAGTAATCTTGAGAAGTTAGATTTTTTTTTCTTTTAAGCAAATACTTAGTAAGTACCTGTTGGGCATAATGCTAGGTCACTGAATGGGCAATATCACAGTTAATTAAAGTGCTGATTGATACCACTGCTTTTTCTTAGTAGAATACCTCTAGTCTATAAATATCCACTTTCCAATAGAGGGAAATATCCTGTCTCTTAAAATGGACTCCATTTTTGCTGTCTTGAATAATTAATTCACACAGCATGTAGAATCTCTCAGGTCATCATTACAAGTCTAAATTCCATCTAAAATAAAAGACTAAAGAACCACTGTATATAATCAAACAGGTCAACCCATGTGTAACCCTAGGTGGGTTTCAGACCTCAATTTTTATGTTTATATTCATTACCAAAAGGTTCCTTGGTTCATCACATGTTTATCTGACTGTGAAAATGGCTCCTTGTAAAGTTGGTTTTATCCTGGAAAGCAATTCCTGAGTAAATATCATAAATACTAGTTTGGCCAAAATTACTCTAATTTAAATACACATTAACAATTAATTTGATGTGGATGAGCCTATATTAAATAAAAGTCAAAAACCTCTTAAATTTCATTTCATATCATTTACATGTGTAAAACACATTCTAGCTATCATACTACATGTGTTGGATTGGTTCCCATTTCTTTTTTTTTTTTTTTTAATCAGTACCAGGAATTGAAATCATGACCTACTGCTTGCAAGGTAAGTGCTTATGTCGCTGAGCTAAATCCTCAAACCCTGGTTCCCATTTCTTTAGTTGATGTCTCTCTAAATAAATCTCCAATACCAATTTGATTTTACAGACTAAGTCATATACAAGATAAATCTGTGGTTGGTAGGTCTCCAAAATTGATCCAGAGTTGAATTATTGGCTATGAAAATATTAACTAGATTTAGATAGAGCCAGCGATTTAAATTTGGGTAAATGAAAGTTTAGTGCATGTAAACAAACAGAAATGTTCAACCAGAAGTAGATAAGAAACTTCTAGTACAATTTTATTTGAACAAATAAGAACAAATATGCAGGCCCCTCATATTGTATCCTGGATGATATGTCAGAAAGGTAATGACTGACAATAATTTAGAAACTGTGAGTTGTAGTCTAAGCCGTAATTTTACTATGCATAAATTATTTATCCAAGGAAAAATAACAACTTCCCTGAGATATTTTTCTCTATATCTTCAAAGTATGAATCTTTTTAAAAGTATATCTGACTTACCCACTTCAGGGAATTGCTGAAAGAATCAAATAGTGTGCATAAATCTATCCTTTGCAAAATTATAAAAGCCACATACACTTTTGAACTTACAAGTCTGACTTTAAGAAATCAGGCAAGATTGAGAGTAAAACCAAATTGCATCAGAATTAAAGAGATTTGTACCTAAATTTGAGCTCACCATCAGAGAGGCTGCATGATTTTTGAATAAAGCATGCATCCTGCCTACAAATCACAGGCTCATCTATGGAAAGTCAAGGTGTTAAATGAACGATTCAAAATCATGATTTATGGGTCCAGGTAGACCCTCAGAGATCATGCCAAACTCATTTCTTTCCCAGATTTTTTTTTATTTCACTAGAACAATTACTTAAAATTGAAGGAATCTGAAGCTGTTTCCGATGCCATGTGTTCATCTTTAGAGATTCTAATCATACATTATTTCAGGTAGTCACGGAGCAAAGCAACTCAAACAGCTTTAGTACAACCTTAATGAAATGATAAATGTGTGTCAAAGTAACTTTGATCAAATTCCACTGGCTTTTAATTCAAGAATACAGTGATCTTTCACACTGCTTAGATATCCTGTGCCATTTCAAACACACATTATGAAACCCATTATTCATACCTGAAAGGGCTGCCTGCTGGAAATATTGAGGAGCTTCCTCATCCATCTGTTGCCCTGATTTCCAAATATCTCCCACAGTAGCTTCCCTCTTGAGTTACTCCAGACTCGTTGGTAGATAGCCAGCCTGTAAATGTGCTTTCCGAACATGTGATAGTAAAAGCGAAAGATGCAGTCTTTACCATCAGTGGCATTTAAGATGGGGCTGAGTAGCACAGCACTGTTTTGGAAAATCTGTGGCTCTGAAGATTCTATGTAGAGATAGTGACCTTGTGCCGTGCCCAAAGTATGATCCTTCATTGGCCCTGTATTAATTGTTGAAGTTGGACCCTGGATCCTGGTCCAATCAAAGATATCTTCTGTGTCTTGTTCCCAGTTACAAATTCCATTTTCAAAGTTACATTGTAGTTCAGGTTCTGAAATCACCAACAAATGACAGTAAAATTTATTAAACACCAAAAATAAGTATCAGTAAGGCTAATAACTGATGTTCTATTCCTGTAAAGTTGTCTTTTTAATTTAAATAGGCAACATCACAAATTTGGTTTTAGTTTGCTCTTTTGGGTCTGTTTTTTGGGTTCTGATGCTTGAACCTAGAGCCTTCATACTGAGGTACTACCCATTCCTCCTAACCCTTTCTTAGAGAAAGTATCTCACCAAGTAGCTAAATTGTCCAGACTAGGGTCAAACTTACAATTTTCAGCCTTCTAGAGTTCTGGGATTATAGGTTTGCACTACCATGCCTGTCCTAAAGTACAATTTTTACAAGAGTGAATAAATTCCAGGTAATTTATTAAATAATAATATTTTGTGGCCTAAGATAGAATTGCTTTGGGTATTACTGCCTAATTTTTTTTGTACTTTCTCCACTTCTACTAGCACAACTTCAGACAAATGACTATAATTTCATGGCTGGTTCACTATGACAAATTTCTAGTTCAGTGCATCTCAACCTTAACTCAATGTTCCAATCACCAGGGAGCACTAAAAAGCAAACAGATAAATATCACAGGCCAGAATTCGCCTCCTGAGTAGTTGATTTCATTGGTCCAAATAGTAACGCCATGTATCAGGACTGTTTAGAATCCTTTAGAGATTCTAATGAGCTGAGAACACTCAAATTCTGATAAAGTCTCAATATTTAAGATTACCTGCAGCTTGTGGTGAAATTCCTTCTTTCATGTTAAACACCAAAACAAATTACAATATAGTTCATTAGACATAGAGTGAAACCCAGAAAGGACATTTTTAGTAATTTCACAAGATCATTATGATGTAGGTGTTTTCACAATCTCAGCCTAAAAGCAACTGTTTTGGCATCCTGCCCCCATCCCAACTATCTTTACATACTAGTACTAGAATGACAAGTTAAATCCTTTAGGATACTTTCATTTAAATACAAATGTAAAACTCTTTCCCAAATTAAACTGTATTCTGGTTCACCCCCATCCGTCCTGCCCTTTATTAGGTGCCATCTTCTCTATGTAGCTTAAAACCTTCTGCTTCCTCCATTTGTTTATCCTTAGTGTTGTATTACACATATTGTTGGCTCCTGAGTCTCATGGGCGGTAGTTTTTTCTTCTCAGGATTGTAGCTCATCTGAGCTAGTGCTTTTGAACTTCTAACTCTCTTCAGTCTGTAGGTAATTCCAACTCAGAACGGACAAGCCCTTTAGCAATTAAATATTCTATTTCTAGGGTAACATAGTAATATTTTCCTCTTATGAAACATGAAGATTTTATTGGCATCAGGTATTTGCTTTAGAATAAATGGGATAAAATATACATTAGCAATATCTGAGCCAAGGGGATAGGATTTAGAATTCACAGGTAGTTCAACACTTTAGTTTCATTTACATAATATTTTAAAACAGTAAATGTCAGCTGTCCTTTAACTATTCATCTTAGAAATAGTGTTTGGTACAAAAAGTGGACAAACACCCTGAAATAATAAATAAAAGCAAATGTGAATAAATGCAGCCAGGCAAGAACAAATCATCTGTCTCTGAAAACCACATAACAGGAGCTTACACCTAATGAAGGGAACCGAGTGAGTAAATGTCAAATGGGAGATGAGCTTTCACTTGATATTTCCACTCTTGCAACTAATCAAGCCCAGCTGTGCCGAGAGCTGGGGACACACAATGTACTCTCCAGGTGTCAGTGTTTGGCTGTAGAGCAGAAGGAGAATGTCAAGCTGCTGCAGTTTTGACATAAACCTGGCACTAAAGCCAACAGATTTTACAGTGCCTGTCTTCCTGCTGACTGCACACCCATCTTCATCTCCAGAGGGAATATATGGGCTCCAACCTTCAGTGAAAGACCACACCACTATAGATACTTTAGAAAATATTCCAAGGGCTTCTGAATATCTAATGTACACTATGGTATCAATAGTATCCTGCAATGGAAAGCTGTGAGAGAAAGTGATATTCTGGTAGAACTATTACTTGCTGCTACTACACAATCATGAAAAGCATTATGCTATTATAGTTGCAACTCCCCTTCTTCTATTCTACTAATACTGCGGAATATTGAAGGATAATTTTCCTGTTCTCAGGAGCACAAACCCTTTTATGAGTAGGATTTTAAAAATTTGGTAAAAAAGAAAGAAAAGATTTCCCAAATGTGCAAACGTAAGTGTTGGACAAGACATATTTCTTATGATGATTATTGTCAAAATCATCAATTTTAATTGCACCCACTCAAAGAAAGATTGCGCAAATTTCATGAGGTGTGTGATAATTCTAACTCTAACACACCTAACCTTAATATGTCTTTGCTAATATATACTTACATATGCAAAAGAACGCCCATGCATAGCTCTCTGCAATGGTTTACATGAAACTTCCTTAATGTTTCCTACGTCATATGTAAGTAATATAGCTCTTGAGTTTACAGTTAACTTCCTGATTTAATAAATATATACCTTGGAATTTAATAATTATTCCAATTAATGGACAAGGAGCTTGAGTTCCAGGTGACAAGCAAACTGTTTTCTAAAAGGATTTTTTTTTTTTTTGGCTTTTTTCCGGTTTTTTTTTTGTAACTGAAAAACTATTTGCCTCTGATTCATTTTTAGAAGTGCATTAAGTGCTCTTAGAACTTGATTCATCCTATTGTAAGATCCATTGCAATCCAATATCACAAGGTTTTGTTAATTTAGAAACTAGAACTAAATTTTTAGACCATACTCTTTGCTCTGTAGAAACAAAACTTAAATGACACTTTACATACGTTCCCCAAGCTTTATCCCTCACTATCATTGTGTCATAGTAATTCGCTGCCAGCATCACTCCCTTGGGGCACAGCCAATTCCCTAATGGGATTCCTGAATCACCTCTCCTCTAATCCATATCCACAGGAACATTTTTCAACTTTCCAAGTATGTGATAATATCTCCCTTCTTAAAACCTTTCAAATATGACATGCTTCTTTGGTCCAAACTCTAAATATCTTAAGACCTAGCCACCTCCACATCCCCACCTGTATAATTCCCGTTCATTGCCTCACTCCAGGGACACCAACTATCATGTATGTATCTTGCAGTCACACAGTTGGGTTTTTTGAGCATATATGTCTTGCCTTATTATTTTTCAGATCTCAGCAAAGCCATCAATCTCTAGAAAGTCCAATGCCGTTATTATATAAAGTCAGAGCATGCTTATTCATAATTTGGTCAAAGCTACCATTTTACTTTTTTTATTAAATATTTGACTATCCTTCAAATAGACTTCAAATTCCATGAAAAGAGAGACTTTGTAATTTTATTTACCACTTTATTCCTAGTATCTTGCTAGTAAGTCTAACTAATAAATACTGATGTCCCTGATGAGTTACCCAGCATAATCTTTACCAACTTTAGACTAAGATTTAATGTCACTGGTTTGGCTAAACTAAAAGAACAATCGAAGTCCTCACTCATAAAATGAGTAAGATAAGCTAAAACAAAAGGAAACCAAAAGCTTACCACAGTCAGCCTCATCAGTCCAATCACCACAATCATCCACAAGATCACATAGCTGAGCCTTTTCCACGCAGGCCTTGGTGTGACCACACCAAAAATGATCTGGTGATTCGCAGCTCTCCACAGGAAGAGGAAGAGTGCAGTTTTCAAATCTGATATCATCAATAGCTGACACCCCATCATAAAGGCCCAGACTGGCTTTATCTAGTGACAAATAAAAGGGCTGAGTGAGGCGCCCTAGCTGGATGGCTGCCTCTGACCACTGGTTGCCTTGGTTGTACCACACCCTCCAGAGGATGGTTGACTCCTTGGAGTTTTCCATGTGGAGCTCTAGCTTAGCTGCTCCCACAGACAGGCCATAGTTATAAAACCTGCAAAAAGCAAACACAAGCAATGGAAACAATTTGTAGGGCACTGCATTGTGCCAAAAGCCTGTTAATCATTAGTTATCAAACAAGCACGTTTCTTTCTTAGCTCCTTTCTTACAATAACTGTAGCTACATGTTTGCAAGAGTTTATCTGCCAAGGTGGAACCCTTTACAAAGGAGCTCCTACAGACAATGTACAAGTCATTGATAAATATCACTGACTCAGAGAAAAAGAGTTTCTTTCATCTTAAGAAGGAAAACAACTAATCAAGCATAGGACCTGTAATTCCAGCAATCTGGGATGCTGAGCTAGAAGGATTTCAAGTTCAAGCCCAGCCTAGTTTAGCAACTTAGTGAGACTCTGTCTCAAAATAAACAAACAAAGAAACAAAATTTTAAAGGATGTATAACCTCAGCGCAAAGGCCCTGGATTCAAGGCCCATTATGACCACTATCAATGATAATAAAATGGTAATAATAATAATAATAATAATAATAATATGTTCTTATATTAAAAGCACATTGCTACTGTAATACAAGAACTACCTTAAAAATAAAATCAGAGTTTAAAACTAGACTAGCTAACAAATGCAGGAATATGTCTGAAACACTGGACTACTAGGATGATTGACTATTGCCTTTAATATTTACCAGAAATAAAGGGTACAACCAGGTCCTGTTTGGCTGAAGGTTGGACTCTGTAGTTTAGCAACTTGGAACAAGTTGCTACTATTCTTCATAATGAACATAAAATGTCCTATTCAGATACAAAACAAAACATTAGTTATCCTGCATTCTACAACGAATCTGTCTTTAATCCTACAGCGTAAGTTTCATATCCAACTAAAATTAAAATTATATAGCCATTTTAAAAACCCAGTAATAGTAGCTATTAGTCAAATTTGCTTTCACAAACACTGAACTACTATCTATATATAATTTTAAATGATTCCAAAAGCAATCAATGATCTCAGTTCATTCAACCAAAAATGCCTATCTGTTCCACTCATAAAGGAATCATTTCATCCAAACAACATAAACATAATGGGTGATATTCATATAGCCCACTGTTTGCACTGCTTCTCCCATCATCTGTGCTCTAAAGGAAGGGTAAATAGAAAGAAGCAAAGTCTCACTTGTTTCTTACCTGAAGGCGAGTTGTGGGTATGATCCGTAGGAGGGGCCTGATACTCAAAATCAGCACCAAGATCACTTGGGGAACTCCATATCCAGTCAAAATCGTCACCACTGACTGCTTCAAACCAGCTACAGCTACTAGCTTCAAAATCACAATCGGAAACTGAAGAACAAAAATGCAGCTCTTAGCCTCTCTCTTTACAGGGCTCCTACACTTCGAAAAGGCAGAGCTGAATGGAAATGATCCTAATACACTTCTCTACATCAAGGAATACATTCAAGGAGACACAGAAAAAGTTATTTTATATCTGAAAAATGGGCTCGTGCTTTTCATATCAGAAATTGGGAATGCAAAATTCTCAAATTAAGAAAATTATTTTCCCAATTTTTTTTCTAAGACACAGCATCATTCATCGATTCTACCTAAAGAATTGTCAAGATTTTCTTACCTTATTCAGATAGTAACACCAGTTTCCCTGCTGTTACCAGTGGACAGTTTTGTTACTACAGAATATTTTATGTTAAGCCATAAAAAACAGCTATTTAAAAAGTTAATATTTGAAAAATCCCAGATCTACTACATCTATACAATGTTTACTCCTGGTTATTGTAGAGCTTAATGTTTCCCTAATAATTATACACATTGACCATGTTAGTGTAGAGAAGAAAATTTTGTTTGTTTTTTTTTCAGGATAATATGAAGAGAAATAACATCTATAAAGAATCCTTGACACAGATAAGAAGAATAAAACAGAAACGGAGGGTTAGGGATACAGCTCAGTGGCACAATGCCTGACTGCTGCGAAGCTGGGGTCTTGAAGTCAATTCCTTGTACAAAAAATAGTGAAGTAAAAGAAAGAAAAGCTATAAATAGCAGTAGTACAGATAAAATATTCCCAATAATTACCAAATTCCTCATGTAATAGCCACTATACTAAATGCTTTACACAGATACAACTTTTAAAATCACCTAAGGGATAGGTATTGTTTTACAAAAGAAGAAATGGAAGTTAGGAAAAGTTATTCATTTTAGCACAGCTAAATAGTTGGAATTCAGATATTTCAACTGCTAGTTCAGTATTCTCTGTAAGTCTTGACAATAACTGTAAATTGTCATTAGACTGCAAAAAAGCATAAGCTAAAAATGTATAATCTGAATTTGCTTGGTTTATTGTATATGTTCAGCTATTACTACATTATAAAATGCAAAATGAGGTTCATTTCCATTAATGGTTATTACCCTGGGATCTTTTGTCATTGTCTATTTTTATCCAGTAAATAAAAACCTGCATAGATGTTTCCTTTCAAAAGGAATTGAATTAGGAAGGAAGCTATATGTTTCAGAGATAAAATATAAAGTAAACCAGTAAATGAAATTTTAAAATTTAGAAAAACATTTTAATCTATGATAAACAATCTCCATTTTTGAAAATTCTACTACTAAATGGAGAGGAATGTGTAGTAACAAAAGTACAAACATCTGGTTTTTCAAAGTGTCTACAAAATATCCAATTTCAGAATTTATTCGCTATCTATCAAATTTCTGGCTCCCTAATTTGACAAGCACACTACTTCCAAATCTTATCAAGTCAATTCAGTATATGAATATATCTAAATATAAATACATTTGAAATGTTCAATCTACTTGAATAATATATACCTGTATTTCAAAACACAGAAAAAACTAGAAATAAGCAAGATGAAGAAATGCTACTCAAAAGTGAAAATAATAATGAACATTACAAAGTAGAGATAAACTACAGACTTTAAATTATTGTGTTTTTAAAGTCTGCCTCTATTTCTCAGTGTATGATGTACAAACTATATATATATATAAAGATTTCAAAGTATGTTGGTATTATGTGAATCCCTGAGAAGCAAATCCTTTGATTTCTATTTTATAACATCTGGAAAACAGGATCTAAGAGTACTTGTTACACACATATAAAAACTTGTTACACACATATAAAAACAAGCTGTTGCTTCTGTTTAATATCTACCCAGACAGCTACCTGAAAAGAGAACCTAATTATGTACTGCCAAGGGATATACTGCTGCAGATATAATGAATATTCAAATGGTAGTAAGATTTTTAAAGACCACTGCAGGGACTGTAGTTATTTTGGACAAGGTCCTTCAAAGACAGTTTCTCCCACTGTATGCTTCAGAAACACTGCATTCCCATGTTTATAGTTATTCCTTATTCCAAAAAGCCAAGAAATGGAAGCCAGGCACAGAAAGATAAATACCACATGAGCTCACTCCTATATGGAATCCAAAACAGTTGATCGCTCTGAAGTTGAGTAAATGCCTTCTTACTAGGCTAGGGAGAGTAAGTCAGAGAAAGGGTGGGGAAAAGTTGATCAACGTGTAGTAATTCACAATCAGACAGGAGCAAAAGGTTCTCATGTACTACTGCAGAGCAGGGTGGCTACAAATACTGATAACGTACCGTGTATTTCAAAGACATTAGATGGGTTGATTTTCTATGCTTCCATCACAAAGACATGATAAAACATTTGAGAACACAGAGATGCTTACCTTTATCTGTACATTGCACAATGTATACATTCATTAAAACCTCAAAGGCACCCATAAATATGTACAAGGTATGTCATTTAAAATTATTCTAAGAAAATGTAATTTATAAAGACAAAAATGTTGTTGAAATTTACATATACTTTTTAAATTTCTTCACGTTTAAAAATCTAAATGATAAATATAATAAACAGATATTGAAGAGGCATAGAAAATTATGCACTGCATATTCATATCTAACTAAAAAATACAATATTCTGGGTATGTTTTAATAATTGAGACTCAAGGATTTCTCAGTTTCTGGGGCATTATTGACTTCTCCAATTATCTGTCAGAAGCATCATCATTTTCAACACCATTTACTCAAGAGTTCCACATACACCATGATGCTCGAAGAAGCTCTTATATTCACAACAGAGTGCTGTTGACACAGGATTTCTGACAGTTACACTTGTCTGTTCTGTGGTCAGGGGTAGAAAAGCTAATGACTTGACAGCCACTTTTACTTACTGTGAGAAAAATTATTGATTGGGCTATATTAATTACCTGAATATAATGATATTAGTTGCCCTTGAGAAAAAGGCACTAGGAAATATTGGCTGGGTTGAGAAGATCCATTACTGTCATCTACGCAGCCTTTCATTGAAGTAGAAGATGAAATTATAAAGGACCCAAGAATATTTAAGACGAAAAGAATCCAGAATCAGATTTTATCTCACTTCCAACTCAGAGTACACTTTGTGGTAAGTAAGCATAAAGTGTGTAGAAGGGAAACCTTAGATGAAAATATGGGTCTCACACAAAGATTTGAATCTTCATAAGAGGAAATATGCCCTGACATATCAAGTGGTTGAATGTCAAACTCCTTCTTGTGTTAGCCACATAGGCAAGCTACACTAATTGTGTCAGTATTACTGGGTTTAAAGGAGGGGTCTGTATTAGATGATGGGACAAAATACTTGACAACTACAACTTAAAACAAAAGAGGATTATTTGAGTCATGGTTTTATAGGATTTAGTCTATGGTCAGTTGTTTCCAAGGAAGAAACACCATGGCAAAAGAGCACAGTGAAGCAAAGATCTTAGTTCATAGCTGTGGCATCCAGAAAAAGACAAAGGGACAAAGGACCATGTCTTGCTTCCATAAATACCCAGACACACCCAGAAGTGAGCTTTCTTAACCCGCTAGGTGGCTTGTGAAGTAATCAAGTTGATAAATTTAGTCACAAAAGCTAAGCCTATGACCGGAAATAATCCAGAAAATACCCAGGTCCAATCAGTGATGTCCACGATGGCTTACAAACAGATCTGAATCATTAAAGACATCACTGCACTATGGGAAATATCTATTGATACTTTACCAATTATTTAGTCCTCATGAAATAGCTTGGAAAATATTATAGTGTCCATTTTAGAGATGAGAAATATAAGTTTGAAATGGGAGTAATTTGTAATATTTCAGAACTCAGTAATACTGACATGATTCCAACACAAATATAATGTTAAAGCCTACACTCTAAAAAATGCACTGCTTCTAATTAGTCAAGCAGAGAATAATAAATGTAAAAACTACTATGCACCAAGACCTCTGTTACATGTTTTAAACAGAAGATAATACAAAATCTAAATATGTCTGACCAAGAACTGGCTGTGGAAGTAGCTTTTAGAATACATAATAATAACTATAAATTCACTAGATTGATTCTCCTTATTTAAGGTTTTGTGTTTTTTAGATTTCATAAGCTTCTTGAAAACTGCATAAAGGTAGACAATAATTAAATGCTCTAGATTGTTCACCTAAATTCACTGATATATTAGATTAAGTAGTTATTATAAATTTCAAATGTATTAATACTATATTTTCTATTATAAAGCTTTTTCCTACTACTGTAATTCCTTTGAGTTTCAGACATTCCTCTGCCTTCAAATGGTTATATACCTGGAGTTATACTAAGGTTGAAGTAATTGAACTTTGGACTTTATTAATAGTTAATATCTATTAATTATTTAAAATGCAATGTATTATACTAGAGTGTTTGCAAAAGTACCATGAAATAAAACACCTATATAAATGAACAGAAGTATTTAAATATGTTAAAGAAATATAAATACACAAATAAATAACATTTGGCATCCAAAATCACTGCGTTTTAAAATGAGAATGGATAAATTACATTATTTAACATATGGCTGTAAAGGTTCCCACTGATGTAGACCTATGCAGCACCGCTGAGAGAATTCTCCACGGGTCTCTCATGTTTCCACACATCAAGTGAGCAGAGCTATTATCTGCCGCTTTTTCTCTGGCTGTCCTTTCAAGGATAGTTAAGTAGCAAATAGCCATGTAAAGAGACAGTGAGTGTTCCACAAAAGGGAGCAAGTTATTAATCTGTATAATAAAGAAAATATCTCCTCTTAAAATAAAAGTCAAACAAGTTTATTTGCAGCCCACTGTTAAAGATTTGAGTTTCAGAAGTTCAGGCTTTCTTAGCTGTGACACAAACCTAGATCATAGTACATCCACCTGCATGTCTGTGTATTGTCCTACCTAAGGAACTCATGGGCCCAAGGACCAATGCAAGCAAGATACCCATGCGGTTTGCTCTACCATTAATGAAAAAGTCC